GAGCCAGGGTCTGGCCTAGCAGCCAGTGGGAAATCTGGGCTTCTGTGACCTTTCCACTGAAAAAGGTCTGATCTCTGCGCCCTTTTCAGTCTCTGGGGCCAAGCATCTCCAAGTAGTTTGGGCAGGGGATGGTACACACAGCTTCAATCCACTTTATAGGAAATTACTTAATGGATCTAGAAGATGCTAAGTTGTTGTTATGTGCTGTTGAGTATACCAAGAATATACGTTAACATCTGTCCCCTACCTGAACCACCTGAGTTGGGAGCATTACCCCAAGAGTACTCCTTTCAGATCAGGGCTCCCTAGACTAGACATATGCTAGCAGCTGGGGGTGGGGGGTGGGCATGGGGATGTGGATATCTTTTTATGGCTTAACCAGTTGCCATCAAGTAAATTGTGACTCATGGTGATCCCATGTGTGTCAAAAGAGAACAGTATCCCACAGGGTTATCAGTGGCTTGGTGTTGTGTGGTTTTTTTAATATAGATTGCCAAATTTTTATTCTGAGGATGCGCCGGGTGGACTTGCGCCCCCAGTCTTCCATTAACAGCTGGATGTGATAATCATTTACACCCCCTCGGGGCGCCTATGTTTGCCTCTGGGTGGTATATTAACTTTTTTGGCTCGTATGTGCGAGAGAGAAAATGAGCTCTGGACGTCAGGTCTCCAGTCCAGCTCAAAACAGTGCCATCAGAAACGAGGTCCTTGCACAAGTTATACAGCAAGCAAAGCTGTCACACGTGGCAGGAAACCAACAGCTGTGCCCTGCTCTAACATGGCAGTCGGTCAGGCCCCCCTGCATGTGGGCTGCTCTCCAGAGTCCTGCCAATAACCCGCTGTCCCTCCTCAAGCTCCAGAGGCTATCAGGAGGAAGGACTGTGTCAGGCCTTTAGGAGAGCAACAGTATCAGCAGGGATTTACCATCTGATGGCAAGAAATGTGGTTTGGCCCAAATGGTGGTTTTTAAGCCCATCATAGGAATCTCTGCATGGTGTAAATGGTTAACACATGCAGCTGTTAGCCAGGAAGTTGGAGGATCAAGTCCACCCAAAGAGCCTTCAGAATAACAACTGAGTAACCTACATAAAAAAAAAAAAAAAAAAATCAGCCATGGAAAACTTATGGAGCACAGTTTTATTCATACATATTGGGGTCGCCATGGGTCACAGTTGACTCAATGGCAACTGGTTAAGCCAGAAAAAAAACCAACCCAGCCCACCTATTCATTCCAGATACAGTTCCTAGCATATAGCTAGGGAGCTCTGGTCTGAAAAGGATGCATTTGGTATAACGCTCCCATTACAGTGAGCCAGGTAAGGGACTTTCTGAACAGAGCAGTGTTGAACTATCAATTAAACAGGCTGGGATTGGTTCTAGTTAGTGCGAGAGTTTTCCCTAAGTGCCAAGGTAAGTTTTGGGAGTCACCTTAAACCAGCTCCCTGGTCCACCCGTCTCCACGTGGCTCCATGTGACCTAATCCTTACAGCCTGGTCTACATCCTATCTGGGACCAGGGATTTTGCTGGATCCAGCTCTAGTCATTTCAGACTAAATTTTCTAGGAGCTTCCTGAGGTTCCTTCCTGAGGAAAGGAGGCAGAGCAAAAGCTTGAACACAAGCTCTCAACTCCTGACTTTTTGTCTGTGTTGAGCTCATCTTCCTGCATCGAAGGTGGTTGGTCACAAACAGGAAGCAGGGATGCCCAGAGAGGAGAAAGAAAAGCAAATGACCTCTCGGCACCTGTGTGAGACTTCCCCGGTTTGCAATGAGGTCACTAAATCCATTCTGCTTCAAGGGCATTGAGATTCACACTCACTTTCTCCCCTTCCTCACTGTTGCAAATCCTGACTCCACTCTTGCTAGACAATAAGCCTGCTAACTTCGAACCTAAATCTATTATGCTCTGGTTTCCTTTTTATTAACACGAGTTGGTTTTTATTTTTTATAGATTTTGCACATATACATTATACTTCATTTTTACCTTTTGCTTCATACAATCTTTCATATATTTCATGTTTTATATAATTAATTACTATTAACCAATGCCCTTTTTTATTCTTTTTATTTTTTTAGGGTTTTCCATTTATTCATTGTTACACTTTTCTCCCTGCCCACCACCCCCCCTAATTTGCTCTTCTCTTTGAAAAGTAAAAGAAAAATTCTTTCATTGTTAAATAGTCCCTCCCCCCCAAGTCCATAAATTTCAGCAATGAGTCCCTTATCAATAGATATGTCACTGCCAAATACTTTTTCCCAGGCTGTGGGCTTTCTTTTTATCCTGTTGTGGAAGTTTTTTGATGTGTGTAAGGATTTTATTTTTAGAAGTGCCATTGACATATTCCATCCTCTCTGTAGGAAATTATAGTGATTGCTGAAGCTAGGTTTATCAACCAGGCTCACTATATGTTTGAACTTTAAAAACATTTTTTCCTTCATTTTAATGAAAGTTTACAGAGACTTATGGTTTCCAGTCATTCATTGTTGCACTTTTCTCCCTGCCCACCCTCTCCCCCCACAATTCACTCTTCTTGAAAAGTAAGAGAAAAATTCTCATTGTTATAGAATCCCTCCCCTCAAGTCCACTGTACTGTGTAGCCTTCATTCTGGACTCCTGTAATGACAATAATACCTAATCATGTATCCCTTTTAAAAAGTTCTCTCTCTCATCTGTTTCAATGCAGTACACATTTTTTTATCCCCTCTTTCTCAGTCTTCCCTCAACCCTGATGTCAGTCCCATTTTACAACAGTGCCACTATGCAATATTTTTCCTTTTGTGACTGAGATATTTCTCTCAGCATAATGTCTTCTAGGGTCACCCATTTTGTATAATAATTCATGAGTTCCTTGTTGTTCAATGCAGCGTAGTATTCCATTGTGTGAATATACCAATACTTCTCTGTCCATTCATTTGTTGATGGGCACTTGGGTTGTTTCCAACTCTTTGCTATTGCGAACAAAGATTCAATAAACATGGGTGTGCATATATCTGCTTGGGTGGTGGTTATGGTTTCTTTAGGATATATTCCCAGTAGTTTCCTTTTCTAGAAGGCTTAGCCCTTAAATCTTCTAAACCAGTCAACCAAAATTGGGGTCTTACTGCCAACATATTGAGCTCCCTGTATACTTTCCCAGGGCTTTGCTCTACTGAAGTCAGGACTATTTGAATTCTTATGTCAGTGAAACCATGTTGTTGTTGTTGGGTATTGTTGGGTCAGAAACGACCCACAGCTGATCCTCCAATGGGTTTTCAGAGACAGTTAATCTCACGAGAGGAGATTGCCCATCCTTCTCCTGCAGAGCAGCTGGTGGCCTCAAACTACATGCTTTGGGTATTGCAGCGCAGTTTCTTGCCACTAGGCCACCAGAGCTCCAATGGGACCATGTTGTTGTTGTTATGTGCCGTCAAGTAACCTATGATTCATAGCGCCCCTATGTACAACAGCCCTAAACCCTGCTCTGTCCTGTGCCAATCTCACTGTCTCTGAGCACCTACCCCCATGACCCCAGTTACTGAATCAGTTCACCTCATAGAGGGTCTTCCTCTCTTATGCTGTCCCTCCATCCTCCCAAGCATGATGTCCCTCTCCAAGGGCTAGTCCCTCCTTGCAACATGTCCAAAGTATGCCAGACAAAGCTTCAGAATCCTTGCCTCCAAGGAGCAGCCTGGTTTAACCCTCTCTAGGACAAAGTTGTGCCAACAAATCTGGATGACAACCACTTGGCCAACTGACTGGAAGAGATCTATATTTGTTCCCATTCCAAAGAAGGGTGACCCAACAGAGTATGATACAGAACAATATCGTTGATATCACATGCAAGCAAGATTCTACTGAAGATTATCCAAAAACAACTGGAACAGCATATCAGCAGAGAACTCCAGGAAGTCCAGGCTGGGTTTAGAAGGGGTCGTGGTACTAGGGATATTGTAGCTAATGTTAGATGGATCTTAGCTGAAAGCAGGGAATACCAGAAGAATGTCCGTGTTTCATTGATTATGCAAAGGCATTTGACTGTGTGGATCATAACAAACTATGGCTGACTCCGAGAAGAATGGGAATCCCAGAACACTTGATCATGCTAATGAGAAACCTATACTTAGACCAAGAGGCAGTTCAGAGCAAGGAAACACTGCATGGTTCAAAACTGGGAAAGGTGTATGCCAGGATGCATCCTATCTCCATACCTTTTCAACCTGTATGCAGAACAGATTATCTGGGAGGCTGGGCTCTATGAGGAGAAATGTGGGGTCAAGATTGGTGGAAGATCTATTAACAACCTGCGTTATGCAGATGACACAGCCCTGCTTGCTGAAACTGAGGAGGACCTGAAATGTTTGCTTTAGAGGGTCAAGGACTGCAGCCTTCAGTATGGATTTAGGCTCAATGTCAAGAACACAAAAATTCTCACCACTGAGCCAATTGGCAGCATCAGGATGGATGGTGAAGAGATTGAGATTGAGATTGTTAACAACTTTAGTCTGCTTGGCTCCATGGTCAACACTCTTGGCACCAGTACCCAGGAAATCAAAAAATGGGGAAGTCTGCTCTTAGGACCTCTCCAGGGCGCTGAAGAGCAATGGTGTCACTCTGAAGACACTGAATCAACCCACCTCATAGAGGGTCTTCGCCTCCTGCGCTGTCCCTCCACCCTCCCAAGCATGATGTTCCTCTCCAAGGACTTGTCCCTCCTTACAACATGTCCAAAGTATGTCAGACGAAGCCACAGAATCCTTGCCTCCAAGGAGCAGCCTGGTTTAACCCTCTCCAGGCTGAATCTGTTTGTTTTCTTGGCAGTCCATGGTACATTCAATACTCTTCCCCAACACCACAGCTCAAAGTCATCAATTCTCATTCTATTCTCCCTAGTCATTGTCCAGCTCTCTGAAGCATAGCAAGTGATTGCAAAGGCCAGAGCCTGTATCAGGCGCACCTTAGTCTCCAGAGTACAGATGAATAATAATAATAAAAAAAATTAACTCCCTTTGTTCCCTCCCTGAGGTCCTAGAACTTGTGAAGAACATTGTGGCTGATGATCGAGTCCAGTTCCATGTGCTGAGTGCTTTTGATCCCCTCCCCATCAGCCCTTCTGACGACCAAGCCTTGGGGTACCAACTGCTCCGCCAAACCATCCAATCTGTCTTTCCGGAAATCAGTATTGTCACCCCAGGTATGACTTCATCAGCTAGAGGGAGGTACAGGGGAGGTGGAACTGTTTCCTATCTCGTGTCTGCTGCCCCACCCCCATGCCAGCTGGCTAGCCTGGAAACAGCTGGCTACTTCCCCCCCTGATGGGACTGGAACTGGATTTTCCCCTCCGAGTGGAAGTGAGAAAGCAAACAGGAAAGAAGCAGAAACAATAAAATAGGTCAGTGAAGTCTGGGTCCTTGACAGGACAACCACTCTGGCATGGAGGGAAAGCTTGACCTAGACTTCTCCCCTGTAGAAGTCACAGAGGGGATCAAGTTCCTCCCAGATTCTGGTTCTGACCCATCCAAAGACAACTGCTCAGCAGTAGGATTCAGGATTCTCGGCCCAGAAAGGCCTCAAGGCTCACACTGTTTGCATGAACCCGATCTTTCACTCCCAACCAAGGCCAGGGCCGACACTCTGCTCCTTAGCCCTTTCCCCAGGCTTCTAGCCCACCTCCCAAGTCTTATGTGGTGTAGACAGATGTTTGGGAACTTTAAGAGTGGGAAAAGTCACCCAAGGAACTTGCTAAAAATCCAGATTTTCGGATTCTGGCTAATCAAATGGTTTCCAGCAATGAGGGAGACAGAGAAGAGATTGCCTCTTGGGCTTTATCAGTAAGTTCACAAAAATATGTAGAATTGACCCCAAAATTTGCTTTTTTTAAAAAAAATTAATATCCAAGGGATCTTTACACAAATAATGGTTGGCCAAGGGAGCTCTGATGGCCTAGTGGGTAACTAGGACAACTGCACTATCAATCCAAAGGTAGGCAGGTCAAATCCACCAGCTGCTCCTCTTGAGAGAGATGGGGAATCTCCTCTCATGTGATTTATGTTGTTGTCATTAAGTGCTGTAGAGTCATAGGTGACTCATAGCAACCCTATGAATCAAAGACCTGAGCACTTTTATAAGCTTCAGCATTTCTCCAACTTCATAAGAGTTTCCAGAGGCAAGCTATTTTGGAAGTGAATGCCACTCCTGCTTCCAAGCTTGTTTTATTCTGGGAGCTCCACCAAACACTGTCCACCATGGGTAACCATTTTAGCATTTGACACATCAGTGTCACAGTGTTCAGCATCACAGCATCCACGAGTTACCTCTGTAGAGCAAATGGACAGACCAGTGCTATACCACCTAGAAGAATGTTGGACCAAAACCAATTAAAACCAGGCCTGAGGGCCACAGATTAAAATCACCCACCTTTGGCTTGGTAGCATCACTTTCTATCCACTAGGCCAACAGAGCCCTCTTTATGTTGTTGTTGTTGTTGTTGTTGATGATGATGTGATTTATAGCCTCTGAAAATTCCCTCAAGGCTCTGCTGTGATTGCATCTAACTCCACAGCACATAACAACAACAATGGTTGGTCTCAGCTCAAGAATCTCTGAGCTATGATGTTAGAACAAGATATGCTAATATTAAAATCTATTCTCCTTAATTTGGGTCCAATCAAAGATATCCTCAGACATTTGCTAAGCTCATACTCAGACTTATTCTGTGTTATGCATAGGCTCTAAGATTTTGTGCTGAAATTTTCAATCACAAATTGAGGGGTGCAAAGAGCAGCTTTTTTCTTTTTTTTTTGGTTGTGAAACTCAACAATTTAATTGATGACATTAAATTGAATATCTTAAACACAAGATATTTGGTTGCTGTGAAAGAGTAGATTTTTAAAACAGAAACAAAAACAAAATTAGCTGAAGTTGGGCTGGAAGCCCCACCCGCTCCTTTAGACTTTCCGTCTCGGACATGGTTGAGGCCTCTAAGCTCACCTTGTATTAGGTTTACAGGGTCTCGTGCAGCAGAGTTCTCAGCCAGTGCTCATTGGTTCAGTGGTTACCGCCAAGACGTCCATGTCCTCGCCACATGTTGTTTCAGGTCAGAAGTTTGCTAAGTCTCTGATCTGTTTGAGGAATGGATTCTTGTTTTTCACTCCAGACCTACATCTAATGTCTCGTATCCCCTCTGAGGTTCTGTCGTCTCGCCGGCGTCCTGCTACAGAGCGGGACCAGGGTCTGCACTGTCCGAGGGCCCTACCCTCAGTGTCCTCAGATTCTCCTCTCTTGGCACTCAAGGGCTCCATCTTCTGAGACACATGCTGTAATTTTGCCAGTGGGGTTAAATTTATAGAAAATAGTTGGGTAGAAATCCCATAAAGTAAAGAATGGTGACATTTTGAAACTAGAGGAAGGAAATAGAACAGAACACAAATTCTTACCTCAAAGCATCCACCATGCTTGAATTGAGGCTCGAGGTCACCTTTTCCTGAAGAACATCACTAGTCTCAACCCCACCTGGGGGTGACATCGCCAGCTATATCACCTTTAATTGAAGAAAACTAAATAGTGAATATTCTGGGACTTTCCAAACCCAAGGTTTGGATTCTAGGAAGAAAAAGTCACCCTTTAAAGAAAAAGAATAACAGGAAATTATGTCCTGCTTCAAGAGGGTTACATTTTACAACAATAAAGTTTCCCCAAGGGGCTTTGGTGACACAACGATTAAGCACTTGACTGGTAACCAAAAAGTTCAGCAGCTTGAAGACCAATTGCTTTCTTGGAGAAAAGGCCTGGTGATGTGTTCCTGTAAAGACAGCTGCCGAGGAAACTCCACAGGGAAGCTCTGTTCTGTCCTACAATTTTATCTGTAGAGTTGTCATCAGTGAGAATCAGCTCAAGGACACAGAGTAACTATAAAGATTCCCCAAGAGGGTTTACTTAGGATCTAGGGTTTGAGAGCCTAAGGGTCAAGTGGTAAAGAAGTGAGAGCTACTTCTCAAAGTCAAACAATAATTTGTCCTAACTAGTAAGAGAGTGCTAAGAAGCTGAGCTACAATCCTGAAGGCACGCAGTTCAAATCCACCAGCTGCTCTCAGGAAGAAGGATGGGCCATCTCCTCCCACATGATTAACTGCCTCTAAAAACCGGCTAGAGAATCAGTTGTGGGTTGATTCTGACTTGATGGTACACCGCAATAGTAACAGTAAAGGATGACTTCCTAAACAACTACTCTTTTTTTTTTAAGATAGATTTTTTTTATCTTTTATTAATTGATTTTCCTTTCAACAAATAGCTCTTAACTATCTCCCAAGTGTCAGATACTGTTCTAGGATGAGGTGTACAAAGATAAGTTAGGCTTGAGATTGGAGGCATATAAATAATTATGGTATGGGGCAAATATTAAAATAGAGGCTTTTATTAAAACTATCCATACTTTGGGTATGTTGCCACGAGGGACTAGTCCTTGGAGAGGGACATCATGCTTGAAAGGGTGGAGGGACAGTGCAGGAGAAGAAGACCCTTATAGAGATGGATTGGTTCAATGACTGGGGTAATGGGGTGGGCGTGTCAGAGACAATAAGGTTGGCTCAGGATAGAGCAGGGTTCAGGGCTGTTGTATCTAATAAGGTCACTATGAGTCACAAGATAGTCCACAGCATGTAACAACAACAACCCACAGAGATACATTAAACAAATGCAATCTCCTCGGTATAGTCCCAAGTTTAGTCTGTGTGCTGCTGGAGTAAGCCCAGAAGTACATACTTTTTTTTTTTAATTGGTTTGCTTAGAAAGTTATTCATTGTGTTTGGAAGTACTACACTCTTGAAAACTATCTACAAGGAATCAGATTGACAATAACTCAAAAGATTAGTAGGAGACCTTAGGGGGAAAATAATTTATGTTAATAAGGGAGGAACAACTCAGAAAAGGAGGGTGAGAATGGTTGCATAACTCAAAGAACATCTTCAAGGCCTGAAATGTACATGTAGAAACAACTGAGGTGGAGAACGTTTTCCTGGGTATATTTTCAGCAATAAAAATAACTACATGAACTCAACTGTATGGCCTTTTGAGTGAGTGGCACCCACTTCCTAAACAACATGCCTCTGGAAACTCTATGATCTTGGAAAAATGTCAATAGTTCTTGAAAGGCTTCAGGCCTTTTGTTCAGAGGGTCACTATTAGTCGTGCTCTACTTGACAGCAATCAACAACAAAAACAGTTTCTAAAATAACAAATATCCATGGCTATGGGTACAAAATTAAGATAACCATCCAGTCATCATAGAGAGGGAATTTACTCAAAGAATCTCTTACTGAGGTTCTCACAAAGCTTTACTAAGGGGTACCCTGGACAAAAATTCATAGCTACAATCCCCCAAACGACCAACATTGCCCTGTAATAATGGTGCATACTCATTTGTCAGACCTCCTCCCACAAGGCTCACATAACATCGTTCTTCTTAATCCTCCCTTTCTAGGTACTTGCATTGGCAACACAGACAGTAGACACTACACGAATCTCTCCAAAGGCATCTACCGATTCAACCCAGTCTATCTGCAGCCTCAGGGCTTCAGCAGGTGAGTTGAAGCATTTCAAGCAGCAAGGGGTGGGAGGAAGAGAGAACAGACAACCTACCTGTCTTTTCCACACCCTGTTCACTTGAGAGTCCACAGAACATTGGAAGCCTGATCTGTGCAAACTGAAATGGAGGCATTTGTACAACCCAGCTGGCCAGTGGTGCTCACTGCCCTAATCTTGACATTATCCTAAGAACCTGTGGAAACCACGTTTCAGAGAAATTAGGTCATTGATCACAACCTGGTGGAACTATGACCCTTGAATGCCAATCCCAGCTCTTCTTCCCTTTGGGAAAACATGAACCCTCTGGGCTTCATTTTCTCCACCCACAAAATGAGGAAGCGCTCACAAGTTGCTCAATGAAATGCAGACGTGAGGAGGTCAAAGATAGGCTTGTGGTTTAAATTCTCAGAAGAAAACATGCTATGGAAACCTAAGGCATAATTACTGTATGTTAATTACTATCTTATGGTTTAGAGTTTATGGTTGCACAGTTACAAGAGCTCTTGTGGTGCAGTGGTTAAACATTCAGCTGCTAACCAAAAGATCAAGGTTTTAAACCAGCAGATCTCCATTTGAAGGATATGGCAGACAGTTTACTTCCATAAAGATTCCAGCCTTGTGAAGGGCATCAAGTTAAATTGGCAGAGCGCAGCCCACAAAGACAATGTTCTGTACCCTCCTTTGGTGAGTGGTAACAAGCATCTTAAAAGCTTTTAAACAACCCACCAAGGCACAACTACTGGTTTCTCCTTGTCCAGAACAAAGAGGGAAAGAAACAAATATATACTTAAATAATTGGTCCAAAGGACTAATGAACCATGAAAATCTCAACCTCAATGACTCTGAAACCAGAAGAATTAGATGGTACCCAGCTACCACTGAAGGGAACACCTCTATAAATTCAGAGTAGGGTGAGGGTAATGTGGAAAAACCTTCAAAAACAGCAAAAGGATAGGCTTACTCACATAGAGACTGATGGAACCTACAAAATTATGACCCTTTGTCACACTTTGAACCTTGAACAAAGCCCATCCCTATGCATCTCACATACTTTAGGCATGTGGCCAGGAGGAACCAGTCCTTGGAGAGGGACACCATGCTTGGGAGGGTGGAGGGACAGTGCAGGAGAGGAAGACCCTCGATGAGATGGATTGATTCAGTGACTGGGGTAATGAGGGTAGGTGTGTCGGAGACAGTGAGATTGGCTCAGGGTAGGGCAGGGTTCAGAGCTGTTGTACATAGGGTCACTATGAGTCACAAGCACCTCAATGGCACATAACAACAGTATGGCTCAATTGTCAAACAATAGATAGGTGACCAGTAGCACCAAAGGGATACTTGCTTTGAGAACTTTCACTAAAATCACAGAGAGAGAGAGAGAGTGAGTGCTTGATTCTTTAAATAGCAACTTACTTAGTTGCTATTTAAAAGGTTAGAGGTTTGAACCTGTCCAGAGGCACCTTGCTTGTAACCCGCCTTCTGACAAATCAGCCACTGAAAACCCCTTGAGACTCAGTTCTGCTCTCACACACATATGGTGGCCATGAGACAGAGTCAATTCCATGGCAACGATTCCTTTTTCCCCCCAGCAAATTCTTGTTCTTAGGGTGGAGAGTGATTTCCGTTTCCCTCTTTGCTTTTTATCACATCCAGACCTACTTTCCTCATTATGAATCAGTTGCCAACAGAATGAAATCGTTGACTATAGGCTTACGAATCGCTTCCATGTTTTGTTTTTGTTTTTAAAGGAGGGCAGGTAAACCAAACCCCAGTTACTGCTCTGTGTGGGAATCTGTTCTGACTCATAGCCGCCTGCCTTACAGAATAGGGAGAACTGCCTCGTGGTCTTCCCTCTGCTGTAAATCTGTAAATCTCTACGGAAACAGGGCACCACACCTTCCCCCTCTCCCCCTACAGGGGGGGCTGTTGGATTTGAACCACCTACTTTTGGTTGGCAGCCAGGTTCTTGAACTGCTGCACCACTAGGGCTCCAAGTCAAGCAGGTCCAAAACCACCAAATCAGCTGCCACTGACTCCCTTCCCATGCACAGCACACATGCGCGCGTACACACACACACACACACACACACACACACACACACACACCCTTGGCACCCCAGGCTGTACATATCTCTATGAGAGGAGTTTGCCTGTCCTTCTCCCTGGAAGTGACTGGTAGGTTAAAATGTACCACCTTTTGTTAGCAGCCCAGCATGTAACATATGTGCCACCAGACGTTGGAAGTGGTGCGGGCCCTTAATTCCCTTTCATCTATGCTGTTATATGTGTGGATTAGTTAGTATTGGCTTGGTTGTGCTGTAGAGAAGCCAGATGGTGGGTATGAAACCTGATTGTAAAATTCTTAAGTGAAGCAGAAAATCAGTTGGCTTCTCCAGACAGTTGTGCTCCCTATGCTCTCATACCCCTACTATGTGGGCAACATGGGAAATTAACTGAGAAGTAAAACTGGAGACACTGGTGAAAGAGAACTTGAAAGGTCAGACTCCAGGAGGAGAAATTATCACCTCTAGTTCAGGAGTTGATTCTGGACTCCCTGGGTGTTTCTTCCACCCCTTTGTTCTTTGCCATGAGCAGGACTCCTGGAAGAATAGCCCACATGTCTGCTTACACATGTAAGCACTTCCCACATGTCCACTTCCTACCCCTAAGGGGCCAGGGGCCTGTGATTTTGGGACTGGAGGGAGGGAGGTGAAAAGAGAAGCTCCTCTTTAATAACACTTGTCCTACTGCAGTTGGCTCTCCCTGTTCCCCCGGAAATGCTTCTCTTTCCTCCTCTTAGCATCCATGGCATCAACGAGAAAATCTCAGTCACGGCCTACGAGACCCAGGTGAAGTTCATCTTTGAGTTGATTCAGAATGCCGACTCCGACCAGATGCCCATGCCTCATGTGCACGAACTGTGAAGCAGGCCAGTCGTCAGCAGGCCTGGAGCAGCCAGCCCTGGACCAGGACTCACCTGAGGGACGAGAAAACCACTCTTGATGAAACTGCTGGCCAAAACCTCACTGTAACACCTTGCCCGTCTGCCCTGCGCACACCTAGATTTTCTTGTCTTAAAAATGTCTCACTTGTCTCTTTAATGGTGGTTATGTAGCTGCCTCTCCCTCTGGGCTTGATTTTACAAATGCCAAATCTCAGCCAGACTTTACCTGGTGAAGGTGTGTAAGGTCCTCTTGTTGAGCCGCTTCTGCCGGGGGTTTGTCTACTTCTCCAAGCTGTAGCCTCCTACCCACTTCTTTCCATCCCTGTCCTTCAAGGTCTCTAGGTGGCACAAATGGTTACTAGCCTAAAGGTTGGCAATTTAAACCCACCAAAGGTGCCACGGAAGAAAGGCCTGGGGATCTGCTTAGGTTAAGATTACACCGAGAAAACCCTATGGAGCAGTTCTACTCTGTAACAGGTGGGGAGTTGGAATCAGTTCGGCAATGGGTTTATTTTGTTTGTTTCTTTCCTCTTAGATTCTTTCTGTCTCTTCCTTGTTTCTCTCCCAACCATGCATCCTCCTGCCACATTCTGATTTATGGACTGTGCCCAGGTTAGAGCACTGGCCCTACGGACCACTCAGAGTTGCCTTTTAATATGTAAAATTTCCTTCCCCTTGAAATGATGGTGCCCACAACAAATTCTTCATCACAGCGACCTTCACTTGCTGTGCATGCAGCAAGCCGTTGGAAAGGCTTCCAGCCTTTTCTTGTACTTAATAAGTAAGGCTAAATAAGAACCCTTATTAAGCCCTTGTTCCAACTTAATTACAAATCCACCTTGAAGACATGCTTGGGAATAGGTCTCGTTTGTAATACGAAACTGCTCATATTCTACCTCTGGGGCCAGAATCAAACTGTGATGTTACCATATTTGCCACAGTTGGTCAAATAAAATGAGGTCTGCAGCACCAACCAGACACTAAGGGGTGAAACTGAGGCAGAGGGCTCAGAGGAACCTGAAGTGGCAGTTTCCGGAAGCTGGAGGGCCTTTGTCCTTGGGCTGCTCCCTCCCCTGCCCTGTTCCTGTCACCTGCTGCTGCTGTCTCACCCCAGGAGGCACTAATCTGTGGAAACATTTCCCTGGCACTGACTGTGGGCTGAGCTCCCAAGGGAAGGGAACTCCATAACCCAGCCTCTCGGTGGAGCCCAGGACCAGCGGGGCCCTGGCCCAGGCATCCGTGTCCTGATTCAGACTGATCAGTGGGTGAGGGGGTGGTGGTGAAGGTTTAAGGGGCTCTGCCCTGGCTGGTGAAGTCGGAGAGGGGCAAGCTGGCCTCCTTTGAAGAACACCAGCACGCCTGTCTTTATCCTCCAGATCTAACCTTGAGCATATTTGAATCTGCTCAGTAGCTGCCAGGTGGGGGGCATTAGAAGGCAGAATTTCTTGGCTCAAGGCTGGGAGCTGAGCTTTCTGGATCACGAGGGACTTGGAGTCAAGGAGGGAGACACAGTGTGGGCTGGGACTTAAGAGACTCCTTTTTTTCCTCAGTAGACAAGGACTGTCAGCACCTTCCTGAGGTCTGACAGTAGTTCCTGCCCCCAGCTACTCACGGCCCCCTGTACATGTGAACTACTCCTTGGCACACAGGCTTAATGCAAAGAGCTCACCACAGTATGGAGATTATTCTTCCCCATGGGTCTCATTCTTTCCTTCACCCCTCCCATTTTTAGCCTATCTAGGACTTGTTTGGCCTTTGTTGCAGGGTCAGCTGAAGAACAAAAACAATCCTTCGCATTTGTTCAGAGCTGTACAAAAAAACATTTTTAATGTACCTCATCTTTAATATACCTCATCTCCGAGTCTCACAGGGACCCCACAGAGAAGGTATCACTACCCTTTCTTAAAACCAAACAACCCCCCCAAAAGAAACCAAAAACCCCCAAACAACCCACTGTGGTCCAGCTGATGACAGAGGAAGACTGTCCTGTAATGATTCCAAAGCTCTAAGTCTTTATAGAATCGCACCTTCACATGTTTCTATCTACTGTAGCTAGTGAGATTCAACCTCCTACTTTGGCATTTACAAATTTATTCATTACCCCCAGCAGCCTGGCCGCTTCACGCTTTCTTACACATGAGGAGTTGGATTGGAAGCTACACAGCTGGCTAGGGACAGCCAACTTGATCTCGTGTCCCCCGGCTCTACTGCTGTTCTGTGATCTTAAATTACTAATAGAATCTGCACCATGTTGTTGTTGTTGTGTACCATCAAGTCAGAACCCACCCATCACTGACCCTCCAGCGGCTTTGGGTTTTCAGAGGCAGTTAATCTCACGGAAGGAGATTGTCCATCTTCCCATGGAGCAGCTGGTGGACTTGAACCACGTGCCTTCAGGATTGCAGCACTGCTTCTTGCCACTAGACCACCAGTGCTCTGTGTTGCTTTAATTGCCCTATTTAATCAGTGGCAAGAAGCTTCACTGCAATCCTGAAGGCATGCAGTTCGAGGCCACCAGCTTGCTCTGCAGGAGAAGGATGGACAATCTCCTCCCATGCGATTAACTGCCTCTGAAAACCCACTGGAGGGTCAGCTGTGGGTCAGTTCCGACTTGATACACAACAACAACACTCCTCACAAAAGGAGTCCTGGTGGCGTAGTGGTTAAGCCCTCAGCTACTAACTAGGAGGTCAGCAGTTCAAACCCACCAGTCAGCTTCCCTAATCATCTATCATCTTCCATATCTTCTGTCTTCTTAGGGGCTGACTCAATGGTCAGGAGAAACTTGATGACAGTGTAGTGGTCAAGCTTGTTTCTCCTAGGTGTGCTCTTCCCAGAGTATTTGGGCTGCCTTTGTGGGCAGTTCTGCTCTGTCCTGCAGAGTGGAGAGGAGTCAGGGTGGCCTGATGGTAGTGGGTAATCCTCACAAAGACCCTTAGGTTATTGTCCTTGTTTTAAGATCAAGCAACTGAGACTCTGAGGTTAAGTAACCTGTCCAAATTGTGCAGATATTCAGGCTGAGTACCTGAGTCCAAAGTCTCTGTTAGTAATACTCAAGAGGAAGCAGAGACTCAAAGAAGTCATTGACAGCAAAGACAAGGGGGGAGTGGGGAATAAAAAAACCCAAGTCTTTTTTTCAATTGCACCACGATGCCAGCACCAGGGACCTGCGGTATGTGGCTCACTGACACTGACCTAGGTAGATCTCAAGGACAAAGGCTGTTGTTCTGCTGGATTTAGTTCTTAGCTGAGGTTCTCTGTGTTCCTCTGGCTGACCTTTCCCCATTCACACCTCTCCCTTGGTCTGCCAGCTGGTTCTCACCACCACCCCCGCCCCAGCTCTTGGGTTCAGCTCTCTTCCCTTCGAGCTGAGGACAGTCAGGTCTCTAATGGGCCTTGGAGTAACAGGGAGAAAAATGAGCAGTGGCTTCTATCCGCATCCTGACCCACCACCATCCTCCAACCTCAGGAAGACACTCTCCCCGCCCCCCCTTATAGAATGAGGAAAAAATGTATTTTGAATTGACTAGCTGGACTCAGTTTGGATGATCCCAATTGTGCTGGCAACATCCAAAGCGCCATAGTCAGGACCAAGTCAAACATAGGCCCTCTTTCTCCATCAGCCTCATCAAGGTGTTGACTTGGCCACATCAATGTCATAGAGCTTCTTTACAGCTTGTTTAATTTGGTGCTCGTGGGCCTTGACGTCCACAATGAACACAAGTGTGTTGTTATCTTCGATCTTCATAGCTGACTTAGTGGTTGGGACATTTGACGATGGCGTAGTGGTCAAGCTTGTTTCTCCTGGGGGCGCTCTTCCAGGGTTATCTGGGCTGCCTTCGGAGTCTCAGTATCTTAGGCCATAGGAAGGTGGGTGACATGTGGATCTTTTTTTTTTTGGCTGTGGCCGCCCTTCAGGACTGCCTTCTAGGCCTTTAATACCTTTGCTTTGGCTTCAGTTTTGGGAGGGGCAGGGGTTTTCTTCTTTGCTTTTAGCACCGTCCTTGTAGGAAGCAGGAAAACCATCTTGCAAGCTCAAAAAGTGTGGGCACTATTACAGAGCCCAGCTCTGAAAAAGCCCAGCCCTGAGGGCTTCTGCAGAGAGCGGCTCAAACTCCTGTCCTAGATAACATGAGCCCCAAGGATCTGGACAGGACAGAGTAAAGACTTCAGAACTTTCCTCACACCATCCGCATCCACATAAACCAGTTCCTTTTATATTGATTCTGACTTGTGATGACCCCATGCAACCTCATGTCAGTCAGATTAGAACTGAGCAGCTTAGGGTTTTCAATGGCTGACTTTTCTGAACTAGATCACCAGACCCTTCTTTGGAGGCACCTGTGGGTAGACTCGAACAGAGGCTGTACCCTCATCTCCCAGTTGTTCTGTGTTCGGAGTCTGAACCAGCTCTTAGCTGACCCTCTGGCAGGTTTTCAGAGGCTGCAAGTTTCAAGGTAGGCACTTGCCCATCTTTCTTCCCTGAAGCAACTGCTGGATTCGAACCACCACTCCCTAAATCCACGGTGAGAGAGCTCCGGTAGCGAATCACAGGTGCATTCTATACCTGCGCCCCCAATCAGATATGCAGCTCAAGCTTGCAACACCTCACTGGTTTAGAAGCAAAGAAAATGCGGAAAGAAAGGAAAAAATAAAGTTTGGCTGGAATCCCTGGTGATTCTGACCCCGGGTTGCTAAGCATTTGGACTATTCTGAACCTAGCATTCTTTTCTTTTGGAGGAAGTCAAAGAAGACAAAGTTCCTGCTCAAGAGCAGAACATTTTATTAAAATGCTTTGAAAGTTAAAGAAATGGTTTTGTAAAAATGAAAGCACACAATTGTACTGTTTCAGTGTCCATCTAGTTATTAGTGGAGTGAGCCAGTAGCATATGTCACAACTGTCACATCAAGGCCTGCATGCCCCCAATTTAAGAATAATATAAATGCTTAATTTTACACAATTTCCTTCAGCCACTTGGA